TGTTACAGAAGACATCGCTGATGGTGACCACCACTACAGAGGACATTGTTGATGGTGACCATTGTTACAGGGACCGTGGTCCAGGTGAAAGGACATCACTGTTGGTGACCACCACTACAGGGACATCGCTGATGGTGACTGCTGCTACAGGGACTGTGGTCCAGCGGTGAAAGGACATCACTGACAGCAACAACCTGTCCTCCATCCATCATGACGTGACCTGTGGGCAGGTCAGACCCATCAGCTGCCTGCTCCACAGAGGAACACGAGCACTCCCCTCCCGCACCATTTACAAGCAACAGGGCATCAGCCTCGCAGGACAGCACGTGATGACTGGACCCCACAGGACAGCACGTGACACAGGGCCCCGCAGGACAGTATGTGATGACTGGACCCCACAGGACAGCACATGATGACTGGGCCCCACAGGACAGCACGTGACAACTGGCCATCAGTGAGGATTCTTGTTTCCTTCATGCTGAGACGTGGCCTGTGCTGAAGGCTGGTCTCTGCAGTAAAAGCTTCAAGTCTGTGTCATCTGTCTTCTTGATTACTGATGAGTCTTCCTCCGTCACAGAGCTCAGCAGTGTGAATGGTTTACTCAACACACAGGAGGACACAGCCTCACGCACTCTTCCTTGTGTCCAGGACACGGTTCCTGGGTCTGGGTATGGGGTTTGGGTGTGGATGTGTATTTGTTTTACATGAATCAGTGTTTTTTGCAGGAATCTGACCACAGTTCCTGCTGGGTGCCCCCGCTGGGGGCAAGCGAAGGCCTGTGCTCAGGGCTGAGCAGGTAGGACAAGGAGGGGGAGAGGGACTGCGTCTACCCAGGAACTGGGAGCCGCGGGAGGGTGGGGGCCCGGCATGTGCCATCTGACTGCCCATTCAGGGTCCTCACCACACTGTCACCTATCACGAAGAACCATCGCATGGCCAATCTGTGTCCTTCCCAAAGGTTCAGGCAGGTCAGCCCTAAGCTCTCCCCCATTGGCAGACATCATGGACACCACACACGCCAGCACCTGTGCTCCATGGACTCCTCCACAAACCCCAGCAGGTGGGACCTGAAGCCCCTCCTACAGCTCTGCAAGGTCTACCTTCAACCACAGCACCAATAGGAGGGCGTGTCCTACTTTGACCAGGGCTCTGGCTGCGGTGACTCTGCTGGAACTGCACATTCTCTCCACCTGCCCACCCTGATGCACCTTCACATCACCGTCCTGACTCGGGTGCTGCGGACTCACTTGGCAGCAAGCACTAAGCTGGCCAATCACTGAGCTGCCAAGCCGGCCAATCACTGAGCGCCAAGCTGACTAGTCACTGCTTGGCCAAATACTGAGTGCCAAGCTGGCCAATCACTGAGCACCATGCCAGCCAATCACTGAGCGCCAACCTTGCCAATCACCAACCTGGCCAGTCACTGAGCGCCAAGCCAGCTGGGCAGCCCACCACCTCCATGCCCACGCCTGGGTATAGGTTTTGCATGAGCGCAATTAAGTCTTCCCAATGCCGGCCATGATTTGTTATTACTCATACACCCAAAGCCTTTGCATGGTCAGTATCTCTCTGGTGTTCTCAGCAGGGTGGTTATGTCCGTGGTCTAGCATCTGTCCAGCAGTCAGGGTCGTGTCGGTCAGGCTCTCTTCCCAGCCTGAGCATCAGTGCAGCGCCTTCCACACAGCAGGTATCCCATAGACCCCTGGGTGAATGGGAAGCTCACCATCCTGGAGCCAGACATGCTGGCTGAGGATGGATGAGGACACAAGGCTGTGGGGAGGCCCCTGGACTGTACCCTGGCTCTGGCTGGGCCACCCTTTCTGACAGCGAACCCCCTCTGCTGTCCTGGGGCACCATGGTGCAACATCCATGCAACCACCCCAGTCCAGTGGTTGGAGGAGTGGGGGAGGTGCAGCCATAACAAAACAAAACAAAAACAAAACACAAAAAGCCAGACGCCTGGTGACTCAAACCACAGAAGACCACAGGGTTGTAACTGGACAGCAATTCGTCCTGTTACACAGAGGTCACCACAAGTTAGAGCCACCTCAGTGCCCACTGTCCCACCAGACTTCCTTCTTGACTCTGTTCCACCTCAGATCACCTCTATAGCCCCACGGGCCCCCCCAAACCCAGCCATGTTACCCTGATCCGACAGCCTCAGTGGCTCCTCACCTGACCTCTCCAGACAAGGGCAATGGGAGATGGACACGACAATAGAAACAGATCAAAATCTAGAGAGGCTTGCAATTACGTCCCATTCCCCTCCCGATTACCATGGAGTCTGGGGTGAGTGCAGATGGTCAGTACCCACAAATACTACTACCTCCCTGAAGGTTAGTGATTCAAGGTGGCCAGAGGCCCTCGGCAGAAAAGCCTACTGATGTGCTGCTCACAGAGCCTCTGGCCCATCTGGTGACCACCTGCCACGTGCAATCACTTCAAGTGGAAGCTGAGTGAATAAATTAAAATGGGATTCCTCTTCCAGCCAGACAGCCTCATTTTAGGTGGTCAGGTCAGTCAGCAGCCATGTGTGGCCAGTAGAGACCATGTTCTGTGTGAGCAGGGGCATTATTTCCTCATCACCTAGGGAGTGCCCGCCGCTTCATTCTCACTACACCTACCTTTGGATGATGACCTGTTTACAACACGTGACACCATTCGTGCTCACTGATGCTGTTCCTGTTGTGCCTTCGAGTTGCTTGCGACTCATAGCAAACCTATGTACAACGGCCCTGCTCTATCACTTGCCAATTTTATTGTCTCTGACACGCCTACCCCGATTACCCCAGTGATGGAATCAATCCATCTCATTGAGGGTCTTCCTCTCCTGTGCTGTCCCTCCACTCTCCCAAGCATGACGTCCCTCTCCAAGGACTGGTCCCTCCTTGCAACATGTCCAAAGTATGTCAGACGAAGCTTCAGACTCTTTGCCTCCAAGGAGCAGCCTGGTCCCACCCTCTCCACGATGAACTTGTTCACCCTCCTTGCAGTCCATGGTATATACTCTTCTCCAACACCACAGCTCAAAGGCATCAACTCTCAGAGAGTACCAGAGGAATGTCTCTCTGTGTTTCATTGACTCTGCTCACTGATGTAGTGAAATAAAATCTCTTCAAATCATAATTCCCGAAAGGAAATGTCATTCTAAAGAAAAGAACTAGAAAATGGAGTGGGTGAGAGTGCAGAGTGAACAGAGGCAGGAGCGGTGCTGCGGGCACTCGGCTGCTGAGGCTGGCTCCAGTCAGTTCCAGGGTTGAGCCCCAAGCATCTGGACCACAGCCTCCACATCTATGACCCCTCCCACACTGAGCACCTCCCAAGCCCTCTCAAACCCCACTGTGCCCTGCTCTCCTGCCAGCCACTCCCCTACCACACGCTCCCTGTTTCTGGAGTGTGCCTCCTGGGCTCGCACCTCATCTTTCTGTGCACCTGTCTTTCCATGTGCCTGCCCCACGTGTCTTTCCTGCAGGTTCTCCCATTTGAACCCTGAGAGCTGCAGCCTCTCCTGTGCACCCACATCTCCTTCTCACACCCGTCTCCAAGCCCGGCCCTCCCTCACACCCACACCCCTGCCTATGCCCGGCCCTCCCTCACACCCCTGCCCATGCCTGGCCCTCCCTCACACCCCTCCCACCTTCTCTGCCATGAGGAGTCTCTTTTGCACCCCATATTCCACAGCACACCTCCAAGGGCACTGGGGGCTGAGGGTGCAGGTGGGTCTCCATGCTGGCCCTTGCTAAGTAGATCAGACTACTTGCTCTCCTGACTCCGTTTCCTCACATGTCAGGGACACCTCAGTCTCCACCTTGTAGGGTTCTGCGTGGAACCACTCACAGGCACTCCTAACCATTGTCACAGCCACTACTACATCCCACAAACTGCCGGCTGGCCCACCCAGGTGCAGCCTCACCCCAGGCCAAGCTCAGCATAAACTCTGCTTTTAGTCTTTATCCATAGGGGGCTGGAGTCCACTGCTTCCTCAGACACAGGGGCTTCCGGGGAATCCTCCCTCCTTGGACACAAGGGGCTGCCAGGCCCTCCATCCCCACACACCGGAGCTGTCGGCAGTGGGAGGGGATCTTCTCTGCCTTAGATGGAGGCTGCCTGGGGGTTCTCCTTCACCAGACACAGGGGCTTTGGAGAGGGGCTCCCTCCCCGGACACGAGGGCTGCCAGTGGGGACCACCCTATCCCATGGGGTTCTAATCCCGCTGTCACCTTGAGCTCAGGGGAGCGGGGGCTTTGTGTGGCCCTGACCCCCCACCTGTCAGCTCTGAGTCCTTGGCAGGACTTTATGGGCTCTGACCGCACACATCACCCTAGTAGACCCTGTGTGGCTCTGTCCTACGTGTCACCTGAGCTCTGGACAGGACCTTGTGTGAGCTCTGACTCCAGCATCCCCTTAGCGGGCCTGTGCAGGCTCTGAGCCCTGGTGACAACTAAGTGGACCCTGTGTGGCTCTGTCCCCACGTGTCATCTGAGCTCTGGACAGGACCTTGTGTGGCTCTAACCACGCCACCTTGAGCCCTGGACAGGAGCCCACACCAAGTGCAAGCCTCAGGACTGAAAGTCCAGGGAGGTGGGCTGGGATCCTCCTCTACTACGGTGACCCCTGCTACACAGCCCTCCTGACATGGAAAGGGAGTAGCCGGCACCAAGCTGTAAAGTCCAGTTAACAATCTGGCCCAAGACTCCCTCCGCGACTGTCCACACTCGGGCCCACTGTCTCTCATCCGGATATGTGCCCTTTGTTAAACCCGTCCCAATGACCGTGTTAATTTCATAAGCCCCGCCCATATGCACATGCAGGTCCTTGACTCCGCCTACAGCCCCCCACAGGTCTTAAGCCCCGCCCACGTTCACACACAGGTCCTAAGCCCCTCCCACGTTCACACACAGGTCCTAAGCCCCTCCCATGTTCACACACAGGTCCTAAGCCTCGCCCCTCGCTCAGATGTCAGCCCCGAGCCCCGCCCCCACCAGACCAACAGAGGATACTGAAGCTGCGGTCAGTGACAGCCAAGTGCCACAGGTTGATGCGCAAGTCGTCAGCCGACATGTAGGTCTCGCAGTCGCTGTTGACAGAGATGGAGTTGATGTGGTAGGTGTGTCCATTGGCAAAGACCCTCCGTGGGCTCACCTCCACCATCAGGTCCATGGGCTTCAGCACTGGCACCTGCAACCAGCCAGGCGGGGTTACAGCAGGTCCACACAGGGAGTGGATGAAGGCATGGCCGAGGCTGGGACCCCCAGGCGGGGTCCTCTAAGCCAGGCAGGAACAAGCAAGGGTGCGGGGCAGAGGAAGGCTTCACTCAGCCCCAGGCAGACCTCCCCTCCCAAGGTGGACTAATGCCAGTGACCCAAAGGGCAGCCCAGCAAACCTCAGTCCCTCTCCACAGCGGTGTCCCCAGGAAACAGTCCAGAGCCCAGCCAACTCAGTCCTTGTCTATAGCAGTGCCCCTGGGGTGACCACCTGGAGCCCCACAAACCCTCATGGGCCTGTCCACAGCAATGACCCCAGCTGACTGCCAGACCCAGGTCGCTCTGTCGTGCTCGGCCATGTGGGTGACACTTCCAGGCCCCGGTCACTGTGTGGCACTTGGTGTGGAGGTGCCCCAAGGCCCTGCTCAGCTGTGTGTGGGGTGCTCCCAGGTCCAGTCACTGTGTGATGTTTGGGGGGGGGAGCTCCCAGGCCCCAGTCACTGTGTGACGCTCAGCCATGTGGGTCACTCCCAGGCCCCCCCCGGTCACTGGGTGGTCCTTAGCCATGGTGGTGGGGTACTCCAGGCCCTGGTCACTGTGTGGTGCTCAGTGTGGGGGCTGCTCCTGGGCCCCAGTCACTGTGGTGTGGGGGTGCTCCCAGGCCCCACTCGGCTATGTGGGGGGTGGGTTCTCCCAGGCCCTGGTCACTATGGTGTGGGGGTGCTCCCAGGCCCAGTCACTGTGTGGTGCTCGGTGTAGGGGGGTGCTCCCAGGTATGACAGAGGGACTGGGCCTGGGAACATCCCACAGTGACCAGGCCTCTACAGGATGTTCTCCCCACTCCTGGGTGGCCGGAGGGGCAGTGTAGCTCACTGCTCTGCTTCTCAGAACCTTTTTCTAAGTCTGCAGTTGTTTGTAGGCCCATCCTCCCTCCTGAGAAGACCATGTGTGACTGCAGTGTCCAGCCCACATGAGTGTGGACACCAGTGTGCCTGCATGGCCATCTGGGAACAGACACGGCAGGGTTCACCACCATCCAACCCAAGGAGACAAGACCACAGGTGACGTGGCCTGCTCCTTCAGCTCTCAGAGCATGGCCAGTGGCTGGGAGGGACATTCCCTTCCTGTGTCGCCCTCACCCACCTTCCAGCAGGCAGCCACCAGCAGCCTAACAGGCTCCCCATCCAACCTCAGCAGCCCTGCCCAGTGCTTCCCGTGCCTCGTGCTTCCAGGGCCCCAGTGCTTCCCAGGCCCCTTGCTTCCCATGCCCCATGCTTTCCAGGCCCCAGTGCTTCCCGGGCCCCGTGGGTCCCATGCCCCAGTGCTTCCCGTGCCCCATGTTTCCCGTGCCTCGTGCTTCCAGGGCCTCAGTGCTTCCTGGGCCCCATACTTCCCGAGCCCCATGCCCCAGTGCTTCCCGGACTCCATGCTTCCCGGGCCCCTTGCTTCCCGTGCCCCGTGCTTTCCGGGTCCCAGTGCTTCCCGGGCCCTGTGGGTCCCATGCCCCAGTGCTTCCTGTGCCCCCATGTGCACCTCACCTGCAGAGAGGTCACCGTGGACAGGTCCTTCAGCTTGCCTTCCTCGTCTTTTAGGTTATAGCCTTCAGGTCTTTTATCTCGCTCAGTAATCTTCCATAATTTGATAGTTTTATCTATCAAAAGAGAACATAGAAAAGCAAGTCCTGTAACTAAGAGCGGAATCTGCCTTGTACGCGACCTGACCACTTCCTGTTCCTGGGGGTGGAGGTCTGTCAGGCCCATGCTGGAAGCCTGCAACATACAGGCTCATCCCTAAAGGAGATGATGGTGGTCAGGTGCTGGTCACGCTGCCTGGTGCATTTGAGCGTAGGGATTCATCCCTAAACTGATTTCCAGCGACCAGACCACCTTAGTGCTTCACTGGCAGAGAGAAGCAGACAGTGTGCCGTTTTAACAGAGGGCACACTCCCGCCAGAGCTCGGCTCTCCTGCTGCCCACATCTCTGGACTCCTACTGAGACAATGAAAGGGGCAACACAAAGTCCACACACTGACCAGCAAGACAGAGAAGTGACCTTGACAGCTGCACAAGGTCACAGGTTAGAGCAAGAGACACACACAGCTACAAGGTGTGCCCCCCCCACAACCTGCTCTTCACATCACACCTGTCCCAAAATGTTGTGGGGTGTTGGGGAGGAAGGAAGGGTCTCTGGCCAGGACAGATTACCTAAGCTACAGATAAGTGCAAGCCTCCCAACAGCCTTTAATACGGGCTAGAGAAAGATCCCCTGTGTTTGGCTGTCCTGGCTTGAGAAAGCTCGTCACCTAGGAAGACAGCTGTTGCATCTGTTGAGCTGGGAGTGGTATGCACAAGGCTGAGGTTCTCCTGACCAATCCGCATGTCCCACATCTGTAAGCCCACCCTAGCCTGTCTTCCTGTTTATATAAGTGCACTGCAGCTCCCAATAAAATTGAGCTGGATTGACTCTCTGATCCCCTCCCAGAGTGGTGTGTCTCTGTCGTGCTTACTCCTATCAGGGTGTCGCTGTCAAGTTGCTGGTGAACTGCCAGTGACACCGAAAGACACAGGGTCCTGGGTGGAGTGAAGCTAAGAGTGTCTCAGGTGTCCATGGGTCAGATGGTCTCCCAAGGAGTACAGCATCCTCTTATCCACAAAGAAAATAATTTACACTGCTGTCCACAAGAGGACTCTTTACAACATTGGAACTACCAGTGTCTGCAGGAGAATGTCAGAGAGGACCCATCAGCACAGTCACTGATGAGGTGTCTGTGTGACTCACAAGGTGATGGACTTAGAATTTCTGTGGACAAAGAGCTCTGGTGGCCTAGTACTAAGGAGCAACGCTGCCAACCCCAGGGCAGGCAGTTCAAATCCACCATCTGCCTCCATGGAACAAAGCTGGGTAATCTCCTCTAGCATGATTTACTACCTCTGAAAATCTGCTGGAGGGCCAGCTATCAGCCCATTCCAACTTGATATAACACAGTAACAACAACGACACAGACAGTGATCATAATCTATAGAAAATGAACAGTAATAACACTGGATGGGGACTTGCTCCATGCACGTATACTCACATGGCGTGCATTCACATATGTGTATGCACACGTACATGGGATCCACACACATGCATATGAACATCTATTACTCAGCAGCCTCACCTATTATTTGTTCACTTGTATGATGTAGGTTATGAACATGCATACTCATACAGTGTCCATATACATGTGTAAGTGTACATGCATGCGTGTTCACACCCATGTGCTTGCATGAGCACAAGTATGCACACACGTGCATCCACACGCATGCACATGAACACACATACCCACACAATGTGCACCTATGTGCAGTCACACATACATGCACACAAATACATGTGCCCATGAACGTACAGCCATGAGCAACCATGAGCCACAACATGTGTGCATACACATACATACACATAGACACGTGTCTAAGTCACACATGTACACAAGTGCATATACAAACACACATCCTCAGGCATATACACGTGCAAATGCACCTCTATGTTCCAACACACAGACACTCATATATGCATACACGGGCATGCACACACCCACATATGCAGACACACGCTCCTGATCATAAGCAGGTCTATATGCACACACATACACCCATGCATACACTCACATATACATGCACAAAGGCAAGCTCACATGTCCACTGCACACCCACACACATACCCACATGCATACACACACTCGTGTGTCCATATGTGCACACACACACACTCGTACTGCACACCCACTCACATACCCACATGCATACACA